TACTAACGATGGCCTCCAACCTACTAGCGATGGCCTCCACCCTACTAACGACGGCCTCCAACCTACTAGGGATGGCCTCCACCCTACTAGCGATGGCCTCCGACCTACTAGCAATGGCCTCCAACCTACTAGGGACGGCCTCCAACCTACTAACGAAGGCCTCCAACCTACTAACGACGGCCTCCGACCTACTAACGATGGCCTCCAACCTACTAACGACGGCCTCCAACCTACTAACGATGGCCTCCACCCTACTAGCGATGGCCTCCGACCTACTAACGATGGCCTCCAACCTACTAGGGACGGCCTCCTGTTTTGAGACGAACGCGAGGAACCTCAAAAGGTGGCACCATCACCGACTTCACACATTCCAGGCACAGGCACAAGTGGAGCCGTTGTTTGAACACATCAGCCTTTGGGTGGCTGGAAGATATTGCTGCTGCTGCTCCTGTTGCTGCTGCTGCTGCTGTTGCTGCGCTGCTTCTGCTGCTTGTTTGTTTTTTGTTGCATTTTGCGCGCGCTTTCCACTTGTTTTGGCACAGATTCTATGAGCATTGCGCCGCCGCCTGGTTTGGCCACATGCTTAGCTTGGAAAGCAATAAACAGGAATTTGCCACCCAAATGAATTGTTGGCTCAATTAGATTTGTTTAAACATCATGTGACATTTTTCATGTTGCGCTTTTGACAGTCTTGTTTCCAGTCAATCTCTTGTCTCTTTAGGCTCCAGCGGAGAGTGTGCCATCCTTGGGCTCAGCAGCTTGGTGCATACAGGCAATTTCAGAACCATGTCAACCATGACGGTGTAATCGGCATCAGCCCAAGCACAACGGCCCTTCCTTTTGTGTGTGGGGGGGCATGTTTTCAGGGGCCTTCTGCTTCTTGGACAGGGTGGAAAAAGGGTTGAGTTGTGCTTGTCGATTTTTGCTGCTTGGGATGCAGTTTCGAAGCTAAGAACCAAGACCTCATTCTGCTTCCACGTTTCTGTGGCACTCCACGTTTCGTTTGGGCCGGAGTAGACAGTTTTGGCCGGCCGAAAGCAAGAATTCATCGCTCTTAGGCCGCTAGTAGGTTGGCAACAAATGCGGTCAACCTAGTAGCGGCCTCCAAATAGGACATGAAAACCAGAATTCCGACTAACCCTGAAACTCGGATGCTGTCGGCTGCTTTGCAGCCTGCTGTGCAACTTAGCGTGGAGCCCCAGGTGCTGCCGGTCAACCTAGCATTCTTAATGCTCCTAGTAGCAATGCCAGGAGCCCCTAATAGCGTCCTTGCTCCTAGTAGTAAGGCCAGGAGCCCCTAGTAGCGTCCTTGGAACTGATGCTTTCTTGTGCCGTGTTTGGTTCTGTGCAGGATGCTTTGCAGGATGCTTTGCAGGATGCTGTGCAGCTGGAACTCTGCATGCTATTGGATTTTGAAGCTTAGTAACTTAGGGCACTGGAACTTTGGATGGTTGCTGTCGGGTGCTGTGCAGGCAGTGCAGGCCTCAGGGTGAGGGTGTCAGACTGTTGCACGCCAGACGCGCCTGCATGTTTAGCTGCCAGCCGACTTGGTGAATTCTACCAAATCTTTGCAATCGATTGGGCCGCTGAAAGATCCAGATATGAACAGCCGAAAAAGTCGGGAAAAGGGCATGCGGCATACAGTAGATCACCAGACCGCAAAGTGCTTTGTCCTCACGCATGCTTTTGGATTACCAAGTTGGGTAATTGAAGTAAGGACAGGAAAGGTTTGGCTGAGCGCAACTTACCAAAAGTTTGGTAGTTGAAAGATCTCAACCAAAAGGATAGGAATATTTGATTTGGAACAATGCACAAGATGCTGAAAGATTGTCCTGGTCCTTCCTGCCTGAAGCGGAAACCACCTTTGTGCTAAGGGGTGGGATTTGAGACAACAATATTAGTTAATTTTCCCCAAAAATCTAGGAACCAAATCATTAGCGAGCTATCCTCCGTCCTGTCGGTAGTAGCTTAAGTAAGCTACTAGCGACTCCCTAGCTACTACTATCGCGGCCTACCCCCTTATAAAAAGCCAAAACACAACAATACTATTTATTAATAAAAATAAGAATAATGCATTAGCAGGCCATGCGCCCAAAACGACGTGGCAAAGAGCTACGTCATTTAACTCAAAAACTTTGTTTTGCGGAAACCTTTCTTTTTGCTTTGGAAACGAAAAGGCCGCACTGGGCACATTGTGAAAGCGGATTTGCCAAGGCTGCGCATGGAACTGGCCTTTGCCGCCCATGTGCTTGGTTGTGGAAACCTGGCGGATGTCAGAATGGTATGAGCCTCAAAGTGTTGTTTTACTTCCTCCAACATAAGAGCGCGATGGCCTCCAGCCTACTAGTGATGGCCTCCTAATCAAAAGAATCCAAAGACACATTGGAGATGTGTTGTTTCTGCAGTTTTAATTCTTATGGGTGCCTTTGTGTCTCGACACTTGAGTGTTGAGACACGTGCAATGGACGGTTCTTTTCCTTGGGGTTCTTCACTTTTTCAGGCTCTGAGTGTCGTCATTGTCACCTTTGTCCCGAAGGTGAGTTGAAGGCCAGGAGGAAGGCCAGGTGTTGTCAGTGTGCTGTCAGTTTGCCATCAACTGCTGGCAGCAAAGCACGTGAGAAGGCTTAGATATCGAAAGCAGGGTCACAACGTGCTGGTTCACGTTTCAATGTTCGCAGGTGAAAGCTGAACTCGCAAGGCAAGAGTCACTGGAGCAGGTGCACACAACACACTGCGGGGACAGAATCTGAAAGGTGTAGTGACACTCACCTTCGTTGATTTTTGGAGTTTGCAAGACGAAATCTTCCATCAAGTTGTGTGAATGTGTAATTTTTCCTTTTGCACACTGTTTCTCACTTCAGCTTACTACTAGGAGCAAGGACGCTACTAGGGGCTCTTGGCATCGCTCACTACTAGCAGCAAGGACGCTTTCTCACTTCAGATTAAGTTTACGAATTCAGGAGATCCTCTCTTCGCCCTTAGCTTTGAACTTGGCACAGCTGTTGGATGAGGACGATACGAAGCGGGGACACTCATCATTCGGACACCTCTGGCGAGACATTCATCAATACGTGGTGTTGACCCAGTCTAGGAGTCTAGTATGAATTCGGATTTTGTTCTTTTGTCTGTCTCTCTCTCTCTCTCTTTGAGAGATGATGGATCCTAAAACTCTCAAAACAGACCATTTTGTTGGTTCTCTCAACTCCCAAACTTAGAACTCTTTGCACCTATGGGTGAAAGCACGGGACCTGTCCTTTGTCCCCAACTGTTTGGTGGTATCATGTTATCAATTCCTCATTTGCCCAGGCCTACTGACCCTTTCATGATGGGGGAAGGCCAGGCATCTTTTTTGAACAACTTGCTGAACCGATTTGAGTGAATCCGAAGATTTTCCAGGTGCGGACGTCCTGACCTTGGCTCCGTTCACAGTCAGAGATCCTCAGGTGGTCTTTAACAGGGTTGCCATAGTGGCATGATTAGTGATGCACTCAACTCTTTTTTTGGCCTTGGTGTTCTTTCTGTTGTTAGACTCTTGCTCTACTCTGATGCTTTTCACAATGCTGCTGTTGCATGCTGAAAGGGAATGCAAGGAACTTCTGACGGAGCACCTCACTTGTCCAATTCCTTTCCTAAAAGTCAAAAAAACCTGTTTGCAAAGATCAATTTGTCAAGGATCGAAGAACAGTTTGAAGCGGCTGAGGATGCAGCCCACATTTTCCCTTCCGAGGGCTCCAAACTTCATGGAAGCGGCTTTTGCAGGCGAAGAGACTGGATTAGCACTCAAGCTAGATAAATGCTGGCCACGTATAATTGTTTTGGGTGTGGCGACTGCGATCCGGGGAAAACATCAGGTTTGATCAGCAGAATTATATGCCCAGAAACTCTCCAGATAGAGATCCCTATACTGCGGAAGTTGGTTGATGGTTCTGGCAAAGAGAGATTCACTGTGCAGTTCGCATGCGATTCTGTTTTAGACACTTTCTTTCTTGTCCTTTCTTCCACGCTCCTGCATCATGCGCCTCTTGGAAGGTCTTGTGCTTGGTTCTGGAAACCCAAGGTGCCTGAATGTGAGGACTTGCGTGAATTAGGATAAACATCGCTACTAGTAGCAAAGGGCATCGCTACCAGGAGCAAGGACGCTACTAGGGGCTCCTGGCATCGCTACTAGGAGCATTCTTACTACGAACGTAACAATAAAGCTTCTTTGCTGATTCTTTTCGCTCCAAGGGCTGTGAGAATGGATATGCTTGCCGTCATTGCCACCTTTGCCCACAGGACTTGTCGTGACCGGGAACACGCCTCTAGTAGCGATGGCCTCCATGGACTCCACCTTATTATGGTACAAGGTCATGTAGGTCTGTGTGCCTTCGACTGAAGTTGAAATTCGTCCTGAAAAGATTGTCTTCTCCAGACTGATTGTAGAGACTTAAAGAGTTGCAAAGTCCATGCCCGTCCTTCGCTACTAGGTGGGAGGCCATCGCTGGTAGATGTGAGACTTTGCAAAGTCTTGCACCCATCCAACGGTTCGTTACAAGTGCCACGCTAGTAGTAACAGGTGCCTTACTAGTAGTAACAAAAAGCTATTAGGAACAAGTGCCTTACTACTAGTAACAATTGTAATTACAAGACGTTTCCCTATGGTGAAATCGCCATCGGGAACATGCACACCCTCAGGAAGAGATCAAGAATAGGCGCAAAGCAAAACAGATGATGATGCAAAACGAGCAACTTGGCACCAAGAACTCCTTCTAGGGCATCGCTACTAGGGGCTCCTGGCCTTACTACTAGGAGCAAGGACCCTACTAGGAGCAAAGGGCATCGCTACTAGGAACAAAAATTCAATGAGAACTTACACTCCTTTTTGACTGCATTTTCTCAGGGGCAGCCCTATGATGTGGCCAGGCGGGTGGGCGCTTGGGCACTTAGGCCCGGTCAATGCGTGCTTAAAGACCTCGGGTCGAGTCGGTCAGGTCGCTCAGGACTGAACTTTGCACCTTAATCGCGGCCTTTGTGTTACTACTAGTAAGGCACTTGCTCCTAGAAGCGATGCACTTGTTTCTATTAGCTTCTTGTTACTACTAGTAAGGCACTTG